TTTTTTTTTTTCACTAGTATATGTGTGCGTTTCCACTGAAGAGTAGAAGTGGCGCTTCTGACTTAGTGTGCCTTAGGACAATGAAGGGTGTCCCTGTGTCTATGCGGTTGCTGTTGGGCTCGAGTCTAAAATTAATATCCTCTTTTTCACCTCCAAAACAAGTGAAAGGCAGAAATGAGGAAAATCTTGAATTCCTGGAGCAATTGTAGCTTCTGTCTTCATATCAAGAACATATGGGGAGTCGATCATAATTGAACACGCTGTTGTCTTCCAGGACTAATTTTAATCATTGGGTACCTTGGGCAGGAGAGGAGAGTGAGGGATTTAGAGTTGGATGATAACAGGGTAATGCATTGAGCTCCAAGGGGATTTGTCTATCCTTAACTGTGCAAAGAGGTGCTGCATGGTTGTGTGCCCCACCCACACGCTACTACCACTGGCAGGTTCTGTGACTGAGCATGTAAAAGCCACGAACTAACTTTTTTACACTTGTCAAGGCCAATGAGTAGATACTGCCTTTCAATTATTAAAGTGGATGAGATTTTTGTGACTAGGTCATTGTGGAGTGTTATTTTGTTGTTTTTACACGTAGTGCTAGTATTATTGCGCTCTCCCTTCTTTCTCTCAAAACCTCAGTTGTTTCTGTAAGCTTGCTTTACTGTGTGAAAACCAAGGGAGGCGTTCTGCAAATTCTCAGCTGTTAAATGGCGTATGCTTTTGCCAGCGTGGGACGTAAGTGCCTGGATTCACAGGCTGCCGATGTAACAGTGGGGGACAGGCGGGGTTGCGAGAGGCCCCTACTTCACATCCCTCTCTCCCTTTCCTCCCCTTCTATTTTGTAAGTCATATATATGGTGAATTATATGCAGGAGATCATATCGAAAACCGCCGCTGAGCACTAAAGGCATTTCCGAGACGTAACTTGTGGTGCCGTTTAGCTCAGTGCTAAGTGCCCTTATTCAGTGTAGAAACAGTTTCTGGAGATTTTCAAGGCACTGCTATTCGCAAACATACTGATGGAGAGAAAGTAGCATCTCTTACAGTCAGATTGACCTTTGAGTAGAAGCAAGCTTATGAGATGTATGAAATGCTGTGTATGTTTATATTATTTCAGGTGAAACTTTCTGATATCTTTCAATTGTACCATGAAAAAAAAATTCATGATGTTTCTATTCTATTTCAGTCTGAGGATAAATAATGCAATGAGTAGTGTCCTTGGTTATAGTGTGGGACAAGATTTATACAGAAACAAATTATCTTCCAGGGAAAAGTACAGTACTTTACTGTAGAAACATAGTATTTACTCATTAGCTTAAGTAGACAACTTTTATAAAATATGCATGAGCTTATTAGTGTGTTATTTTGAAGTACAAAAATTTCCATGCTTTATTTAATGTGTATAATTTTAAACTGAAATAGTCCTAAGTTTGTCACTATGCAACCGTTACTGGCCTGTAAACTTGCATTAGTCCTCTTTAATGGGGAATTTTTTTACTGGTGTTCTAAAAATGCTCTTGCAGAAGTTTAACTCAAACCAGCATGTCCATTTACTTACGATAACTTATCGTAAATGTAAAACTTTCATTGTCTCATATCGGTAATTAACGCCGTTCATATCCAGGCTGCTTGCAAGAAGAGTAGATGGATTCAGCTGACATAAAATTCCCATGAAGAGTACTCGTGCTGACCGCTGCTTGTAGGAGCCAGTGTTGATGGGCGGTCTTTTCAGTACTGCCCGTTACCGTGTAGCTGGAGTTTGGTGTGGGAAACTTGATGTACGTCACCTTACGCGGTCCCGCTGCTGCTGAGGTGATGGAGCGCAGGCGTGCCCGTGCAGCGCAAGCCCCGGCCGGCCGCGTGCAGGGCGTTTGCGGCTCCCAGCTCTTCTCCCCTTGGCTGGGGGGCTGATGGGCGCAGCGCTGGGCTGCCGTGAGGGGCAGGGAACGGCCCCGTCAGAGTCCGTGTCCCATCTCTCTGTGCGTTTCCTCCTCTAGAGGATGTGTGCTCAATATTTTAAGCATTTACGAGGTCTTTGGATGAAATATGTGCAAAGATTTCTTGGGGAATGCATTAAATTTAATGAAGCTTCTCACTTGACAGGAAGTATTTACATTCGTTTGCAAGCAGAAGATCAGCCCTTCATACTATGAGGTTTTCACTGAGAAAAATGCCTTCTCTCAATATTGCTATCTTGCACTAACACGGTATACTCTTGGTAGTAAAACAGGATATGACATCCAACTTGATACTGATTCTTCAGGCAGGTCACAGAAGACTGGTTGTGATGTTATTCTTGGGTAAGCTGCCCTGTAATCTAGACAAGTCTTCTCCTTTCATATCCAGCCTGAACAAGAAATATGCAAAAACTCCTTGTCAGTCCTCTTCAGCAACTGTTACTTTGAATAATTTGCAGAAGATGCTTTGAAAAGTCAAAATTACCCTTTACCTTCTTCGGAGATGATCTGGCACCAGTAAAAGACAGTTGAGCTGTGAATGGCGATGTGGATGTCAAGAAACCATTGGCATTTGTCCAAGGCTGTTTGTTACATTTCAGGATTGATCGTTTGAGACTTCCTATGTGACATCAGAGTTGTCATGATCTGTGTTTAAAATGCAAGAAATTAATTTCGAGAGCAGGCCCTGGTGAGCCAGGAGACTGGCACAACGGGAGGTGAGACTAGGAAGCCATTCAAGGTTTGTTGTAGGCTGGCTACAAGACTTTATTTGCAAGCAGAGAGCTGGGAAGGGAATGCAGGGACAGGACAGTGGTACGGTCCCCTTCCTTACTTAATAAAGATAGGAACATAAACACAGTAAGAATTACCTTTGCAAGGGTTTTGTGCTAGTTTTGACCCCAGAAGTTTCAAAAAAAGGTGACGAAGTGCCAAGAGTAAGCTCTACACCAGCAGGAAGCGTCCTTAATAAATCAAAGAACAAATAGTTCTGGGATAGATAAATATGTTTATGGAAGGTAACCATGGATGATGGCAAATATACAGCCATTTTTCACAGTGTCTCTAGGCAATTAGGGAGATATTTTGTCCATCCTGATAGGAGGAGGGGAGAGAGCAGAATCCTCCTTAAAATTGTAGCATACTGTGGTGCAGAGCACCAGCAGGAACTAACAGTTTCTGTGTGGGTTTTATTACTTGGCAGGATCCACTATGACTAAATCTCAAAAGACTGCTTTTTTTTTTTGAGTTGCATTTATTTATATATAATATAGTTTGTTAGCCAAAACAACAACCCCACCTTATCAAACCATGTATGGTCTTTATTTGTAAAATGTTTCTAACTGCTTGCTGAACATTACTGGAAAACTGTGTAGCTGTGAAGGCAGCCACTTACTCGTCAGAGCTCAGAGTTCCCATGTTAATCACAGCAAGCATGTGCGGAAGAGAGCTGACCCAAACTCCAGCAGTGATCCTCTTCAGTCAGGATAACATCTGCACTCTATTTTCTTCCTTTATATAATTACATCTGTTGATGTTTTCTTAATATCTAGCATGCAGTGAGGAGTGTTCTTCTGAAATTATGAATTAAATATGTTCTTTTAAGAGGAAGAAAGCCAAGTGGCTAATGCAACAACCTCATCTTAACTTATTTGATACCTCTAGTTAACAAAACAGTTGCCTAAAGCAAAGCAAAAGCACCTCACGGGAGCTCCTTGTTCAGTGGGAATTTATTCAAATTATTTATTGAATTTTAAAAAAAAATTGCACTTTCATTATTAGGTTGGACAAAAGTCATGGATGAAAGTCAGCATCAGATAATTTTTGCTTAAGTTATTAAATTAGAAAGCAAAATAAATGACTATTTTATGAAATTGAAATGTAACGGGAACCAGACTCGTGTCCAACGAGCCTCCAGATACAGTCCGTGCTTGCTTTGAAACAGTCACCACCGTCTGGCGCCGCGTGCGGGACGCACAGGAGCGCGTCTGGCGTGTGAGGTAACGCGTTTGGATTTGCAAGGCAGCGCGGCTCGGCCTCGTGGCCAGCGCTCGCCCCTCCGCCCAGGCCCACCTCGTCCCTCCCTGCCCGAGCCCGTGCTTGCACCGGTGGCGTGGGTGGCGTGAAGTCGCTGTGCCCGTTGGGGGTGGCTTTGCGGGGAGGTGTGGAACAGTAACGTTGCCCAGCTATAAGGCTGTTTCTAATCAGTTTTTAGTAAACAGTCAGGAAAATGTCAGCATTAGATACATTCGGGTTTTTTAATTAGTTTGCTTTCTGGAAATCCGTTGCTTGTTACCCTGTGAAAACTTAACAGCTGTCAACTAACAGTTGAGCGAGAACGCTCGGTAATCGTTTCTGAAGCGGCTCTTCTGAGGGTGCCCAAACTTAGGTACGAGCTCCTAGAACGTGGTGAGGATGTTGACCACTGGGTGACGTGGAACAGGGCAGGCTGAGTTCCCCAGCTCTGGCGAAGCAGGACAAGGCTGCTGACTTCTCTCGACCTGCCCGGCTTCGCAGCAGTAGGTGAACTAGGCTGTTACATTGAGGACATGCCCTTGCTCGAAAGAGAGTAACCGATACTGTAAGACTACTGGCTTATCATAGATTTGTCAAACAAGCCTGGCAAACGTACACCAATTTCCTCTTCAAAATAAAAAAAAAAAGCCTACAGCAAAACCACTCACCTCCTTTCCCCTCCCTTTTACGTAGCTGTAATTCTGTTTACTGCAAGCACTTTCGAAACGCTAAGTGTGAGTGGGCTAGAAGCGTGCAAGCAGGTGCCCAAAAGTGTTTGGCTTTTTGCTGTTTCTTCTCTTACATCTTTTTATCAGAGGCTTTTATGTCTGCGTGAAGCACAGTTCGTGCTCTTGTATAAATTGACTGAACATGCGAACAAAATTTGCATGTTTATTGGTTTAAACAGATGCCTTGCATACACTCTGTGGCATAAGTCCAGCTGAGTGTCAAGTCATACTGTAAGAGTAAGTTGGAAACTGTGTGGGAGTCAATGCAAAACCCTGTGTAAGATGACTCCTTTTTCTCTGGTAGTGTTTAATTATTGGAGGTGGCCCATGTGGCTTGCGGACTGCCATAGAACTTGCCTTCTTGGGAGCCAAAGTTGTCGTCGTGGAGAAGCGGGACACTTTTTCAAGAAACAATGTGTTGCATCTCTGGCCGTTTACAATCCACGACCTCCGGGGACTGGGAGCAAAGAAATTTTATGGAAAATTCTGTGCAGGATCTATTGATCACATCAGTAAGTATCTGAGGGCATGGGTACTCTTCAGGTAAGAGGTGTACTGAGGTCAGAAGATTAGTGGAGACTTTCTTTATTTGGCAGAAGGCTCAGCTGCCTTAGACGTGTGGGTGCGTGCACACACACAGAGGAAGAAAACTTGTCTTATTTAAGCAAAATGCCAATTGAACAAATGACAGTCTTATGGAGCAGCTTTTTTGTTAGTCTGGATTTGTTAAATGATAGGTTTTTATTACGAAGTATGAAGAATATAGATACTTATTCTGGTATGTTGAAGGTAGATACAGCCCTTAATCTAATTATAAAATATGAAAAAGTGGGATATTTTACAGGGAAATATGCCATAAAATCCTAAAATGGTCAACATATTCGTTAGCAGATCATTTAAATATCATTAAGAAGGAAAGCTCTAAAGTGTTCTAAAACTCACCAAAATGAGTTTTATTGCTTATGAGACTGTGCTGCAAGAGGGAAGTGAGACGGAAGAGAACAACATCCTGTGGTGGTTGCTACATTGGCATTCATCGCAGTATGGAAGAAATAACGCTGCATGCTTGTGTTAACAATGAATATCAGTTGGGCGGCATGCTGGTAGCAGCTGTGATTACTTACATATTAAATATATCTTTGTTACTTGCTGTCTACAGGTATTCGACAACTTCAACTTATCCTCTTCAAAGTTGCACTTATACTAGGAGTTGAAATCCATGTGAATCTAGAATTCGTGAAGGTCCTGGAACCTCCTGAAGATCAAGAAAACCAAAGTATTGTTTATCATAATCTAGTTCTGTTCACAGTAACTTCTTTTCACGTCAGGCATTATGTGAAATCATTCAAGGTAGTGGGATTTTGTTTAAAGAAACGGGAGTTTTTTGCCCTTCTTATTGAGCTAGGTTTGCTATATGCAGTTGTGGCATGATAAGTGTAGTTGTGACAGAGCACTGATAACGCGTAAAATACGACCCAGTCTGAGAAGTTGAGGTTTTGCACTATGCCTTCTGGCGTGCGTTTGAGGCTTTGTAGGGAGTCTGGTGTGGCTTTTTGGTATCTTCTTGCAAAAACAATTTTTGATTGATAATATAAATATTGAGGATGGATTGAGCTCCCTGGGCCTCATTTTGCCTTCACATTTGATATAACTCCCACGGGCACACAGACTCTTATCAGCCAACTTAGGCAAGGTTTTTAAACAAAATAGAGAAAGATTTCTCAGTCCTTTTTCTATTTTTTTTTTTAAGATTAGTATTTAGGGTATAGTAGAAACAGAATATTTTAAAATTTTACTTTAATTAAAATACTATGGTATGTCTTTTTAAATGGTCATATAGTGACAGTAGAACAAATATACTGTTTTAAGTAGTTAAAGCCTATATAATTTTTAAATATGGACAATACAAACATTTTCATATAATCAGCTTTGTGTTAATGCAAAAAGTAAATTTAGCTTTGAGTATGCTGCTGTTTATTTTTTATTTAGAAGACAATTAAAAGTATTGACGATGTGATGCTATGTTTCTTCTTTTAACACCCAGCCCTTCCTTGCTGTAACCACCTATGTGTACTGTCCTGATAAGGTCACTGTGGGGCTATTTCTGTGAGAATGAAGTGCTCAAGCATATTCTTGTGAAAGTTTAGTGCACTAGGTGATCCAGATGAAGGCTTCCTTTTTTTTATTTATCAATTTACGAGCTTGACACCTTGCTAATACAGCCTGAATGAAGCTTTTGCTGCAGCAGAACTTCCCTCCATCAGACCAAGGCAGAATTCAGCTCTGTGTGAATAAGAAATGAACCATTTATCTTAATGCCCTTTCTTCAGTGTCTGAAATTACTTTTCCATTGTATTACTGATGAACAAATCAATATTATTCTTTGTGTTTTTAGAGGTAGGTTGGAGGGCTGAATTTCTCCCGGTGGATCACCCTTTGTCAGAGTATGAATTTGATGTTATTATTGGTGCAGATGGCCGCAGGAACACGTTAGAAGGTAGGTGAATGTGTGCTTTTGGCCTTATTAATGGTCTTTAAGGTATTTTGGAAGGCCTGAAAGTCAGAGGAGAGCACAAAGCAACAGGCTACCTTTCAGTCCACTGAAATCTGTGTGGAAACTATTTTTATGGGCTATTTCCTGCTTTTGCTGTTAAGTTGTAGCTCAAAATGAAGACATTTGATGTCATTGAGAATCAGCATCTTGCCTACAAAATGCATCATGATGCCATTGGGCTTGCTTCAAGGTTAAGAAATTATGATGATTTAACTTTAAGGAGGCTGACAAGATACGTGTTGGGAATTGCATAGTCTTTGCTGTTGTGCTGTAAATTTGCACTGTATGTTTGAACTAATGACCAAAACATGACTGACAGGTATTTAATGAAGGCATCAGAGGTATTGCTCTTTTATGGAGGTGATTTAACTTCAGAAACAGTTACTTTGGAAATGATACCAAAAGATAATAAATAACTCTAAGGTGGGGGGGAAGGGGGGGCAAATGCTTCATAAACCTGAGTCGCTGCTGAGAATTCAGACCACCTGAGCTGTCTTAGTGAGACACCAGCTAAGCTGCTCCTGTATCACATGAACAAACCTGCCTCTTAATTACTTATTCCCCTTGTAGCTTTAAGTATATCCATGTTAGTTTCAGTTCGCTAAGTACACTCTTATTAATCCCTTATAATACTCTATTGGAAATTTCCCCACACTGTTGTCCAGCTATCCACCTCCACCACAAAGACTGTTAAATAGTCAGGTATCAGCAAAAAAAAAATTATTCCTACCTCAGACTGTATTGAGAAGTTAATGGCTATCGTAGTACTGGGGTCTAAGGGAATATTTGGTGCCCTGAAGATTGTTTACGTGCAGGAGCAGTTATTGTCATATTACATCTATCCCAGTGAAATAACAAGAGCATATCAAGAAGCACAGAGACAAAAATTCATAGCTATTTTATCTGTTCTTAAAGTACACATATTCTCTGAAAAGTCATCTGCAGTTAGCTAAAAATACCCCAAGGACCCTCTGTCCTACCTCAGAATTTACTTATCGATAAGGGGAAGACACAGAGGCAAAAACTTAAATGTGTGATGGCAACATTGTGGTTTAGTGGGCTTTTTTTGTGAAAAGAGGAAGCTGGGATGGAGCGAGAGAACAAGTAACTTCGCAGTCAGTCTCACCTTGGAAATACAACAGTTAAGCCACTGAATATTTTTTCAACCCCTAATATCTTTGAAAAACCTCATTAGCTGGTAGTGTGTGCATCTAAGCACTGCTATAGAGGTTTCTATTTTTCAAATCTTTCTCTGCTGCTTTTGACTGCCGATCTCTTGCATGTTTTTTCATAAGCTATAGTTTATATAGTTCACCACCTATATAACAAAAATCTTATCTGCTATTTAGAATGTTAAAAATGTTTCTCTCCATTAAATTTGATCTGCTCTATTTCCAATCTGTTTTTCTGTAGTCATCATTTGTCCTTAACTTCTTCCCATGTTCAACTTCTTCCCATAGGTCACCTCTAGACATTTTTTTTTTTTGATGAGACTTTATCTTGAATGCAGTCCAGCTCCAGTTTTGTATCTGGAAGTGGGGAGAAAAGACTCTTTGTATTCAAGGGAGTTTTGGAGGAATGATGGAATCTGCTGATGATATGTTGTTTGAAGTGTAGGACTAGACACAGGAAAGACGGAGCTGCCTTGAGCTGACCCTCTCTGAAAGTCCAATGTGAAGTTTCCAGTGTTTTTATTTCTTTTCTTTGCTTATCAGGTTTCAGGAGGAAGTAGTTTCGTGGAAAGCTTGCTATAGCTATTACTGCCAATTTTATAAACAGAAATACAACTGCAGAAGCCAAGGTGGAAGAAATCAGTGGTGTTGCTTTCATCTTCAATCAGAAGTTCTTCCAGGACCTTAAAGAGGAAACGGGTGGGTGCATCCTCGTTTTTTGCACAACCAGCTGAGAGGAACTCTTTGTGCCTGGCCACCCCTCCTATTCCTATTAACATCAATTTAAATATATTGTATAAAAAAAAACCCCCAAGTCATAAAATGCTGTTGATGCCAGAATCTTGCAGATGGAGGTGTCCATTTACGGTACAGTGGGATTTTTTTTTTTTAGCTTGGGCGTTGCCACATCATAGCTTGTTTTGATGTTTAAATTTTTCTCAACTGTAAAAATGTCTGCTATGTTGAACAAATTTAGAAGAGAATTTTCAGTGCCCAGAGATTTCCCTTAAGACCTGGTTTGTTTTGTTTGTATCCGTTCACATACTGAACAGCTTAAACCCTGTGAAAAAGTCTCTGCCCTTCTGGGAGGAGTTTATTCTTGCTTTTTGATGTGTAGATCTGATAAACTGAAAAGAATCCACCATAAATACTTAAAATATAAACTGTGAAATACATCTTTATGAAAAGGGGTTTCAGAATAATTGCATCCACTGTCACTACAAGCACTTCCATTCTTGATTTACAGCTTTATTATTATTATTGAAACCAAAACTCCTGGCTAGACCCAATGCCAGAGCCCTAGCAACCTAAAAAACCCTTTGTTCTCTTGGCTTCCCTTCTCTACCTCAGAAGAGTGTTAACGCTGTAGTTGGCTTTGCTGTTCCTAAAAGGATGCTAAATAACTTTAAATTATGCTGAGACAAACTCTTGTGGGGTAAGGCCAATCTCTTCTCTTGTTTGTTTTGTTTTGTTTTATAGCATGCTGTCCACTAATGTTTCATCCCAGCTGGGAAAGTGAATGTACCCCAAGAAGGAAACACCTGGGGGGACCATCACATGTAGTTAGCAAATGACACAGACGATGCACTGTACTTGATAATAAATGTATTATCTCTTTTTCAGGAATTGACCTGGAGAATATTGTTTACTATAAAGATAGCACTCATTATTTTGTGATGACAGCAAAAAAGCAGAGTCTTCTGGACAAAGGAGTGATTATTAACGTATGTAAAAATGCTGGCTAAAACCCTATTTTATTTTCTTGGCACAGAATAACTGTGAAAATCTGCATAAACGTTGTGTGTTATAGAGGATGTTTATAGACTTACTAATCACTTCATTAAAGCTCAGGTCACTTAGATCTTACTCTGACTTCCTGTTTGTTGTTTTTTCCCCCTCCAGTCAGCACAAGGTTTCTGTAGAGAACTAAAACCAATGCTTCCTCAATTTTTCAGTTCTGAAACTGGCTGAAATGGGATCTTGACTTACCTTGGAAATACATGGTTTGGTCATCACACCAGAAAATAAAAACCTCATTTATTTAAAGGTGAACTTGGCACAGCTATGTCCAGTTTTATCAGGCAAATAAGGAAGCATTAAAACCTACCCCAGGCTAAGTTGCAAATTCTCTAAAGTGGGTGAAACGTGATAGAAGGAGGCTATAAAAATGATGGCCTGAACTTTCAAAGGTACTTGGGTCTTTGAGGCCTTTTAAACTTTTTTCTGTTTTTCTTTTTCCTCCTTCTGTAAGATGTAGGGGTTTATTTTCTTTTTGTTTCTAGAAAGTGTTTTGGCACCATTTAAACGCCTCTTCCTGGAAACCCAAGAGAGCTCAGTTTTTCTTGCGAAGTAAGACAGTGCCAAAACAGTCGAGTATCATTTCCCAAAGGAAGTACTCGTGGGGAGCTATCAGAAGGCTGCTTGGCTTTCCGATGGGACCACTTGGCTCGGTGCCACGGTTTCTCGCCCTTTTGGAGGAGCGGGTCCCCCAGGGCAGAGCAGCTGTCCTTGCCTAGCTGGGGCGGGAGGGGGCTGAGGGGCTGCTGTTGTAGGTGGGAGCGGTCCCAGGAGATCTGTGGGGAGTTTGGAGAAGAGGAGCAGCAGCTGTGGCCTGTCAGAGCTGTTTTCCTGACCTGTTCAGGTCTGAGTGGAAAAAAAAAAACCAACCCCACAACCCCAACTCTGTCTAAAACAACTGGGCTAATAGCAGTTCTGTGGTATCATCCCTGTGATTAGGGGTCTCATCCACGATTAAGCTGTAAATAGAAACTGCCTTATTAATAATCACTGGCTCTAAGTAGGATGACCTGTAAAGGCAGGGTCCTTCAACACACTGGCCAAAAAACCTCCTGGGCCAAAATAGTTCAAAGCTTCTGTGATCCAAGTTTGAACGTGGTGTTACCGAGATGTTCAGTCAAACCTTCAGGCTGAGACCTGTGCGTCGTGTCGTCAGTAGGTCGGTATTTCTGCTCTTGTGTGGTTTCAGACGTGGGGTGCACACATGCAAAAAGCATTGCAGTGATGATGGTAACATCTTTTGATGGGAGGTAAGTAATGTTATGAAAATAACACATAACTGAGGAACTGGAAGGCACTATAATATTCTGTTACAAATAAAGCTGCTTATTCAGTAGAGAGTTCTGTCTGGGTAGTACTGTAATCTGTGTTTGTGCATTAACTTTTTGGAGGAGATGACAAATATCCTTGGTGCTCTATGGTGTGAGATGTGTGGTTGCCACTCCTGCTATGAGACTGCAATGTTCCAATCTGCAGAGGGTGGCTGGAGCATCTAATCCTACATGCTTCTCTCCTTACAGGACTTTATTGATACCGAGTTGCTCCTCTGTGGGGAAAACGTGAACCACAGCAATTTGCTGTCCTACGCCAGAGAAGCTGCTGACTTTGCAACCAATTACCAGCTGCCTTCCTTGGATTTTGCAATTAATCACTATGGGCAGCCAGATGTAGCAATGTTTGATTTTACTTCCATGTATGCATCTGAAAACGCTGCACTAGTGAGAGAGAGGCACAGACATCAGCTCCTGGTGGCGCTTGTTGGAGATAGTTTGCTTGAGGTATATCCTGGAATGTCTTCCAAGTAGTTTTGTGTTTTTATTTTCTTTCTTACTCCAGCCATTCGATCTACCCTCCAAAACACACTGTTCTCTCTTGCATGTCCTGAAACAATGATACCTTCTTTGGAATAGATTTCCCCCCCCCCCCTTTTTTTATGCCACAGTTTATGTCATAACTAATGCTTGGCTGGCAGTCTCTGGCTGAGATCCTGTTTTGCTTTATGCAAGTTGTATTTCTGTCTGAAAACTGAGCTGTGTGTCCTCAGCTTGGGTGCATGGCATAATTTTCCTGACTTCCATCACAGAGAAAAACTTGGTCCAAATTTTTACTGCAGTCTCTTTGCCTTAATATATTCTCTTTTTCTCTTTCTGAAGTGAACAGTGTATGTTGGAATTAATTTTTTTAACTCATGCTGACAGCCTGAAGTGTTTGAAAAGATCAGTCCAAAGCAAAATTAGGAGATGAGAAGGCAGGCATCTTTTTTTCCCTTTCTTTTTCTTGACTAATTCTTGATTGAGTCTTTTCTCCCCTGCTTCCCACCCACCCCCCACCCCTCCCCGGCTTTACCTTTTGAGGTTAAGAAATTTGGTTTTAAATACAGAAATTAAAAAAATAAAAAGTGACAGCAGTCTTTTTCATTACCTAAGACTTGGAGGAGAGAAATGTCTAAAAACTAAGAGTTGGCTGTGTTGTATTTTAACTGTTTGTGGGCTAGTTCTCTAAGACAGTATGAAACCCTAGACTCGAAATTCACATTGCAAGTTACTTTTGTAATAAGACCTGAAAAAATACAAGGAATTAAAATGTAAATGCTTCTTACAGCCCTTCTGGCCAATGGGTACTGGCTGGGCCAGAG